AAATAATATCAGTCGCGTAACGAGAGGAAACGCGAGGATTCTCCCTAAGGAATAGGATTTCTGTCTCAGCAATATATAGGTGCGCGTGCGCCATTGAAATAGATCAACAAAATTATTTCTATATCTCGTGTATTATAAGTTGCACAAGTATTTTTCTTTTTCTATTTTTTCGTTTTTTTTCTATTTTTATTCTATTTGTTGATTTGCGTCAGATGTCGTTCACAAATAATCGCACGGGTATTACTATTAAATTTCAGATACGTAACGTAACATTTCCTAAATTTGTTTTTTTCGAAAGAACCTTTGTAAACACCATTAAACGTTATCTCGTTTGATAAGACAAAAATGATCGCGGTAAAGTTTAATGGTAAATAAAGAATGATTATTACTCGTTCTTAGCTTAACACTTTGGCGTCGAATGACGCTTAATGTCGTCATTGGAGACTTTCACTTCGGAGCGGATGACGCTTTAAGTAGTCATTTAAGATATCGCTTAACTATTCTTTAAAAATATACATACAGCAACTTAAATTTGAAAATTATTGAAAAATATTTGTATAATTGTAATAAATAATAGAACTATGTAGAGAGAAGTATAATTGCAAACCCTTCATTTTTGTGTATAAACAAGTCCTATGCTCCCTTCTTTAAAATTTCATACTGAAATATATTAATTACATACAAAATAATAGCAATTTTTCTAAACCTATTCGCGATTGTAACGATTGACAAGAAACGGGCCCGATCCATGATAAGCGCTGCCAGCAACGCCCCGTCGTCAAAGTGTTAAAAAACAAGAGGATATTTTTATTATTGATTGTATCGGTTAGTTGGTAATAACATCGTTGTAAGACGAAAATAAATAAAAAGAGAAGGAGCATTGTCCAGTAAGTGCGATCCGCGTTTAAATTCGTGCCAATTAGCGAACGACCAACAGGTGCACGCGTACTCGCTTAAGTGTGAAAAAGTGTGCAACGAAGGCAGGGTCGAGCGTACTAATTACCACTACGCAACGAAACTGCCTGTACTCGAGAGTACGTACATACGTATGGGTATAATACTTGCTTTCTTACTTATTTATGTTCGTAGATAGGTGTTTACGAGTATATGGGTATGCGTGTACGTCCTCGCAAGCCCAATCGCTCGGCAAACGCTTTCGAACGAAGGATATGTCGAGGCCGTTGCAAAATAGAACGAATGCTCGAGGATGACCGAGTTATTTTTTATCGAAATAAGTAAGCCGCAATTCTTGCCAACTCGTTTCTCAATAAGATAGGAAAAGACTTTTTGCTAAACGATAGAGGTTTGTTTACTTGGGTCAAATAAAGATTGGCACGGTCCGAAGGTGGCCTTTGTAATCGATTAAAAGTTTCTTATTTGTTATTGTAAAGACGTACCCAATTTCAATATACACGAAGGAATAAGAAGTAAAAAAAAAAAAAAGGAAGGGAGGGACAATCGTCGCGTTGAATATTTTAATAAACGATCACGAAACATCGTCGACGATGACGTGTTCGGAAGCCATCCCATGTATGATACGACACGTATCCTTCGTATATTACGTGGGGAAGGAGTTAACAATCTTTCGGGGAATTTCGATGACATATCAGGGATAAAGCATGTACGATCTAGATTATGCAGTATTTTTATTTAACCCACCATCTGGTACTACCAAAATAATATTTTATCGTAATTCAATCATTCTAGAAAATACAGGTTTAAATTTGCAATTATAGACACATGTATTCTACTAGGTATCTATAAAATTGTGATTAAACGTGATCTCACCTTTAGACCCGCCATATGTTAATCATAATAAACGATCTATAAATTGTGTCGTTTATTATTGTAAAAAAATAAAAAGAAACAAAATAAAATGCTACAGCTATTTTATCTTTACGATCGTGACGACTTGTGACAATGATAGTTTATGCTCTTCTTATGATGGATCTCGTCAATGGAAATCAACGTAGCGTAAAAACTATTCGTAATTCGCCTATCAATAACTCCGGGAAACTCGTAGGAACTTATGAGCGTAAGTAGATCGGCGTAAACAGTGGCGGCATTCGCGTAACCTGCCGTTAAAGGAGGTGCCGTTAATGCGCGTAGACAACAGGCACCAGTAATCAAGTAATTGTCGTTCGGGAATGAATGAATGAATGAACGTATGAACGTATCAACGAACAAATATACAAACGAACGAACGAATGAACAAACGTCCTGCTACCGTATTCTAACAATCATTTTGAAAAATGACAGGGAACGTTTAATGCAGGTCGTCGAAAGGAACACTCCGTTAGGCGTTTAACGAGTTTGTATTATCATCGACGAAGAGGACTTGATGCACGCCTAACCGACGACGTCTGTCGTTAACGACAATCGGCTTGCTTTCGTAATACAGCCAGGTATATCGTTGACGCACATACATATACGAAATATTTTTCATTGTTTTCTCCGTCCTTTCGGAGTAAATGCATACGTTGCGTCAGCGCATTGCTGTAATGACGCACATTGGATTATCGTATTGCACTCAAGAGAGACTATATTCTGCCGTAGGAATAATTAAAAAATAAAAAGAAAAAAAAACAGGATATATTCGAGCTAATATTTATTAATCTTTATTAGATATGAATAAATATTTTGTTCATTAATCGTTGAAAATAATTATCGTAGCGTTATAAGTATACGTAATAAATGTTTTCTCAAAGCGTTAATATAGATTCGTTTTATTCATAAGTTTATTCCATTTCAATCGAAGAATATATATATTTATATACACCTGCCTCTGCCTTCCCTCCCCCCCCCCACCCCCGATTACTCCAATATCTCATCATTTCGTGTAGTTTCAAACGAATCGGTGTATTTTTTTGTTATTTTTATTTTTCTTATTTTTGTTTTCAAGACGAAGAGAGAACGGATTCGTGGACACAGGACTTTTCCCTCCTGTTCCCTCTCTCCCTACACCCCTTTTACCTCGTGCTCGATCGTTGGCCTCGAATAACTGTCCGAGAATGCTGAGAAAGGCCCGCGAGGTATTCCGTGCGAGCGGTTGGAGCAATGCGGAGTCTGCATTCGCTAATTATTTGCCCTGCGTCGTCGCGTGGGACGCCGACGCCGACATCGACGTCGACGTCGACGTCGACGTCGTCAAAAGCGGATTAAAGAAATCAAAGAGTCTTTCAAAGAGTTCCAAACATAAGAGGAGAAAGCTTCTCTTTGACGCTTTTAGTCAAAGCTTTGAGAGAAACCTTAACGTTCCTGGAGTACCTCCCTACTACGCCCCCCATCCCCTCCTCTACCCTCCTCCCTGATCCAAGAGAACATAATATTTTCGATCACGCGAGAATAAAGGAGAATATTCGTTCGTTTATTAGGAAGAAACTCGCGTGTTGCGATTAAGTTCCGGTAGCACCACCCACGCATACAAGAACTCGATAAATAGAAAGAAATAGAGAGAGAGAGAGAGAGAGATAGAGAAACTGACTTGGTGGTTAGTCAAGGAAAGAAGCTTGCGTCGTCGAACGAAACGAGAGTCAATATCCAGCTAGCTAGCTAGCTAGCTAGCTCTCTTGGGTTTAACGTACTCCCGGCAGCTCGTGGGATTGGAATAAAAAAAAAGGGAGAAAACGAAGGCGAACGAGTAACTGGCGAGGAATAAAGTGGTAAAAGAGAAAGATAAAGAGAGAAAGAGATAGATAGATATATAGATAAAGAGAGAGAGATAAAGAGAGAGAGAGAGAGAGAGAAAGGGAGGAGGAAAAGTTTGAAATCATGTGGGACACAGAGGCGATTCACCCTTCGATGTCTGCGGCTAAGATTTCAATAAGAGTAGCGTAACGAGGTTGATTTGTCTACGTAGGAGAAACCGCCGTGGCCACACGAACGTTGTGTTATTTATCTGGAACGATCGTGCAACAGAAATGCTCCTACCGGATGTGGCTTTACAGACTCTCTGTACAGACTCGCGCCCGTCCGACTGTCACCGTCTATACCGGTTCCCATATGGACCTTGTTTGTTGCACGCTCCTGACGCGTACTTACCTACAGCCAGATGACGTGACGGGAGAAAAATACGAATGTTGGAATGCGTATAGACGTAGGATTGCTGCTCTTTTAAAGGATCATTTTCGGCCTTCTCTTCCACTTCGGTTTATCTAATTTATCGAGATAAACGAATAATTTAACCAGGTTTATTCTTACTATAATTCGATTATGCTTAACTTGTGAAATAAAACGAAATAAATTTAAAGATCATTTAATTACGTTATAAGTTTAGGTTGGATCTTCGTTTCGTTCGTTAACACGTCCATTGTACCATTGTTTTTGATCAATAAGCCAAATTGATTGTACAATTGTTCCCCGTAAAAATAATATGGAAATATAATATTTTGTAAATGATTTTAATATCGAGAATCGTTAGGTATTCTGTTCACTTCATTATTCTTGAGAAAAATGATATAATTAAATTTACTGAAAATTGTAATGAAAATTTTAATCGTCAAATTTGTTATAGCAAATATTATAGCTTTAACAGAACGTGGTATATACATACGCAAGTATAAAAGACCCTTGTCAGGTTTTCTTCGACCTTGTCTAGATACCATGAGCAAAGAACCAATACTCTAAAGCGAATTGGAACTTTCTGTCTCGTGTTTGGAACGGTTGCTGACAACGTCGGTGGTTTTAATTTAACGAGCTGCCACTTGCGTCGGCCGTCTGTGAACGCAGCTTGGAATTCCACTCGAAGGCGGTAGGTTCGACAGGTTCGCGGAATGGACACAAGGGAGGATCGAAGGTCCTGAGAAATTTATCGACAGAGAAATTCAGCCGGTGTCGAAGCTCGTCGAGTATATATTGTACCTATTTACTTCCGTTCACTGGAATTTCACGGGAAAACTCTCTCACTCTCCCTTTCTCTTATATTCCTTTTTATTTTCCTTGTATATATTACTTACCTATATAAATATCTATCTACACACTCGTTCAAATTGAAATCAAATCGTTTCTCTTTTTTTTTTTCTCCACCGTTGTCACTTTAAAAGGATCTGTCGAAACACGTTATCTTGTATTATTAGTCTTCCGTAATCGGCTCTAATATACTATAGGTTTAAATTTCATTCGTACGATTCATCCGTGGTCCAGCCTAAAGTTGTATTTTTTCAGTTTCCTGGTTTGCCAAGTGGCAAGCAAACAGTGGCAACGGCCTGGAGGGTACTCGATCCATCCGGTTGGAATTTACCCGGATACCTGTTGAACATACACAAGATGTATCGGGCCGCGCTTTCCCAACTTTCGCGAGTTAATTGATTTCTCAATTAATTATCGCGTGCCTTCATTGTTAATAGATTTCGATGGACTACACCTCTGGCGGCTTTTATATTTCTAACTTTATAAATATATAATTGTATAGATTTAAAATATTTGAAATAGTCACCTGTATAATTTACATCGGATGATACCTATGTGTCGATGCTAGAGCAACGACGACGACGACGATACGACGCGACGAGTTACGTCACGCAGGAGCCTTCGGCCTCCAGGTCGTGAACCCCTCAAGAGATGACGGAAATAACCGACCTAACTCTCTTAGCACCGCGAGACTAGCTCGAGAGATATACCCGCGATGCTATCTTTACTCTTTTTCCCCTCCACTGCTTGTGACGGACCAACGAATACGTTAAGGCTCATTCACACGTGATACCAGCCAAGTAAGCCCACAAACCCTGCCGCAGGATACGCTGGGAAGTAACTTCAAAGAAAACGCATTACTTGTTCCGCTAAGAATTCCTAACTCTTAACTGGACGACATGTATAAATGAAAACAAACGATAATAGAGTAAAGTTATTATATCGGTCATTTGACAAATGTGAGGATCCCTTTTCGTTACTTGTCCTGACTATGTTTACGTCGTTTCGTCTTCGTTCTAGCGTCGAACTGGATTTATCCGGCAACCGGTGCAGCCGCTACTTACTATACTCGCGACACCTTACTCGACTTGGCAAGGCGACTTTTCCTAAGGTAAATATAGCGGCCGCACTCGGTACACTCACGCTCTTCGGCAGCCAATGCTAGGTGCGACGCGAACCCATATACATATATACGAAGGATACACGTATACGTACATTCATGCGTATGAACCTCTTTAACATAGAAATCATTCCGTATCCGTAATTCGCATTCTCGCGCGTCCCCAAAGGCGTCATCATTTGCCAAGGTTCTTGAGGATTTTCATCGAGTACTATAATAGTTAAAGAAGAGGATAATAGGAGGACGAGAAGAGAGAATATAAGCCGATGGGATACCCTCTTGTATTGTGCTGCGTTGTTCGATAACCAACGACAAAGCAAAGGGTTAACCTTTTTCTTCTTTGTCGATCATTAGGGACTACGGTTACCCCCTTACTTATTATATGGTCTATTTATCATAAGATCGTTTTAAAGAAATTAAGTATGGGCTTACTTACCCTCCTGAGTGTTCGTCCTTCCGGGTGGGGTCGGGATTCTTTGACCAAACGATCCTACCACGCTAACCGATCGTCTAAAGCACCCGCTTTTAACCACCTTCTCATTTCTCTCCCTCTCTCCTTCTCTCTCTCTCTCTCTCTCTCTCTCTCTCTCTCTCTTTTATATTTTACTTCCTTCTTTGAGTCTAAACCGTGTGTCTCTTCGTGTCTCTTGGAATCGAGTTGTTGCATAAAACGTTTATTACAGAAAAACACACGTTTTATTTCTATTCCTCGATAACGATTTTACGAGCAGCTAGAAAAATGAGCTATTACGAGTTGACGTTCGTCAGCTGTTAACGCGTATAATCGACGTCATAGCCGACGACGATTCGCTCGTCACGTGACGAATGCACGACGTCAGGTAATATCGCATTTATCGCGATATCGTGCTATTGTACGAATTGCATATATGAGCTTTTCCTTCTGAAAGCAATAGCAGTGCATTCGCCTCTCGCAACGTATCGCGTTCCTTTATCCCTGTTAATCGTTACTTACATAAACGCAGGAAAATTCGGATATTCGTCGTTTTCAAAAAAAAAAAAAAACGTTTTATCGTCCTTGCGAAATATTTTTCTAATCGCCATTTTATCATAAATGGCGCCACGATCGTTTACGTCGATCGTCAGCTCGATTCTTTTTTATTTCTTTAGCCAATTCACGAGTATACCTTAAAACGTCACTTTTCGTTTTCATTTCTTTATAATTTTTATGAATAAAATATCGAAAAATTCATACTATAATATAGAAAGGGAATAAATTGAAATAAGGAACAGTAGATAAATTTGGATCATTTAAACGCGTGTAACTTTGCATACGTGTCGCGCGTACGTGTGATATTTTCTTTTTCGAGACTATTGTGAAAATGTCAACGTTCATCCCAGGGATTTTGGCAAAACTTTTTTTCTTAAGATCGATGATCGTATGTTGATTCATGTATCCGAAAAAGTGTCATCGTTGTTCCTTCTCCTTGATGACTAAGACGCGCCGATTGTTCTCGGTGAGTGGGCTTTTATTTCTTTTCAAGAATAATTGAATGAAGATGACGCGCGCGTCGTACTTTCTTCCCCCCCCGAGATTAAATGCGCTTACCTTTGCGAACCCTTTGTTTTTAAATCAAGAATTGATAGTGAGTCAACAGCCTAGACACGTTGAAAAATTAGCTTTCGTAAAATCATTAAAGTTCAAGCAACGATAGGCACGATATTTTATTAGTACATGGATGGGTAACCTCTCCGTAAAAAACTGTGTTGTTAACTCCTGAAAAGCAATACAATATTCGATCTCTTTAAATACATTAGGCTACGTATAAGAAAATTTTCATAGAAAAGTGATTTGAATTCGTAAAAAAACAGAATAATAAAAATAACAATAATAGTGTATATATTTATTTAAAGATATATATGGTATTTAAACTATTAACTATTTTATTAAAAAATAATATATTACAAAGATGTTACTCTTTCCTTGCTGAAAAAGTAGAAATATTTATTAAATTATTTGTTAACTGAAAGAACCCTTTGATACATAAATTGGATAAACGATATTACGTATAAAGAATAGGAAGAAAGAGAAAGAAATTAAAAGAAAAAATAAATAATCATAACAGACGGTTCAATTGCGGTGTTTTATAAATGATATAGATTGATTGAATATATAAATAGAAAAGAAAAGAAGTAAATAAAAAAAGAAATATAGAAATAGTTTTTTTTTTTTATCAAAAGCATCGGCTCATCCGATGCGAGGACGCACGTGCGCTTAGTCGTTCAGAAATTATTGAAACACCGACATTTTCCGGCTTCGCAAATATAGGCAGATGTGTCTTTTCAGGTGTAACACGTACTAATGTTATACATATGTACGTGCGCTCGAGTCTCATCTCATTCGTCTTGTCTCGTCCGTCTCGTTCGTTTTGTCTCGTTCCGTTCGTCTCGTCTCGTTTTGTTGTCTCGTTCATTCACACCTTTTTCACAACGTCTTATCTATCCGAGTATACTCGTAACTTACTTACTTACTTACTTACATTATATATGATTGAAGAAACGTTTCCACATGGCTAGTAAAGGACAATATTGTATTTACATAGATACATACGTACATATATTCTTTCGATGACCAATATCAAAGCTGCCACGTGCCCCCTTCGCTTTTTTCGATTACGATAAAATAATGTTTCTTAACGTTTTGCCGTAAGCGTCTCATTTGCGTGAAAATAACAGGAAGCGAAATAATGAAGACATTACGTACATGCAAATCATCCATTTCATCTTTTTTCTCTTTTCTTCGTTTTTTTTTTCTTTAGTTTTCTATTTTCATTTTTAACACATTCGCATCGGTGGGGGAGGGGCATTTCGAGCCCCAAACTTTTCGAATGGGATCGCTAACATTTCATCACGGTTTTTTTTTTTATTTCAATCCTCCATTACGTTAGAAACGAAAATATTGGTAGAACTTTGAAAATAAATATAGAATTCGTGAAAAATAATTGAGTTGTTTGATTGATTGGTTCAAAACTCGAACCCAAGTTTTCCGCTTCTTGGATCACTGCTCTGTCAATTGAACTATCCAAAATCCTCGGTTGATTTTCTTACGAATAACAATTTTATTTTGACATTAAGGTACTCGGTCTATAAAAATATTTTTCAAAGTAATTTTAAGAAATTTAATTAATTTCTTAATAGCATTATAATGTATAATTATTAAAATCTAATTATCATAAATTAATGTGATAGATATTTATTTTTAAAAATTAGATAAATATATATATATATGACAATCTCAATTACATATTTTTCCGTTATCCGATTAATAGTTGAAAACATGCATTAGTTTAAGTTATCCGATGCGAATAAAATTTCGTCGTACAGTCGAGTATAATAGTTCAGAAGAAAGATCGGACCTAATTTGTCTTTTTCTCTTTCTCTCTCGAGACCAGATTTACCGGAAAGAAATTTCGGGATCGATCGATAGAAAGGAGGAAACTTTGAAACGAGAATTATCATAGTTCTCGCGTCATAAACGATAGAATGCCGCGTATGCTTCCATAGTGGATTACGATAACGCGTTATCGGAAACGCATGGTAGAAACAATGGGTGCGTGATTAATTACTTGGAAAGTACTAGAAAGACAGAAGTGATGGATGTTATTCTCCAACAAGAGAGAGACAGAGAGAGAGAGAGAGAGAAAGAGAAAGAGAAAGAGAAGGAAACAGCCGGTGCATACATGCGCCAAAGTAACCGTGTTCCTATTTCCATCTTCTCCATCGTTGTATTAATAAACTCGATTGTTTCTTCTATTCTCTGAAATATTTTCAACAGTCACGCTCGATAATTTTTACATATGATTCATTTTAAACATTGTTTACGTAAAAACAAGTTTTCTTTTGAACATTATTGAAAAATCAAAGGTTGGTCAAAAGATGACTAAGAATGATTTTCTAAGAAAAACTAACATTAGTCTTTTTATTTTTCTTTCCATTCGAAATATACGACACGTACTTCCTGTTATCTTCTTAAAGAAAAATAATAGATAAAAGTTAATATCTACATATAGATAAAGTTAGAGAGATTATAATAGGTCATAGTTTCCTTTTCCCTGATCTCACTTGTTTACTTATAAATTACTCATTCACAATCATAAAAATTCAAATAAATAAGATACAACAGTTTGAAGACACGCGTTCTACACGTGATTACAATCTTGTCGCATAATTTACGATCGCGATTTAGCATACAATGAATCGAATTGAAAGGAACGCGAGTTACTTGCCTTTCAATATTGATTTCTTTATTGATTTAACGCGTACGGCTCGAGTCATGTGGTAGTCCAAAGAACGTATGAGGGTAGGAGGGGTGTCTTATGCAATACGGGAGGGAATCTAATCAATGAACGGAACTCGAAACTACCTTTTTAAAACTTGACTTTGTAATTATCGTTTTGGAAATGCGAGAAGATTTTTGAATGTGTTATCGTGAATTTTCGCATTATAGATTCTACTAATATCATTGTGAGAGATAGAGAAAGTGAGAGAGAAAGAG